GAGGGATATTAAAACCTGACTTGTCCTCCAAGCCTGCAGAAAAAGCAGCTTTTTCCTCTGTGTAAACCATTTCATCCACCCAGGAGTAGATGAAATCCCAATTATACAGTGGGGGAGCACGTTACTAGTAGTACACTTCATATTGTAATACAAATTATTTCTACAGTACAACCTCCAAAAGAAAGGAGAAAAGGAAGCTTTCCTAGTTTTCAGGGTGTATGGCAGATAACGCTGTTGTTGCAACAGCTTGAGTGACAAATGACTTAAAGTATTTCATCACCAGATAAAAATAAAGCTATTCTCAAAAACAACAAAAAAAAAGAAAACAGACTCCTGATGATGTATCCGGCAGCTAAGACAGCTGGAGAGTTTATAAAGCGCCATCTTGCATAAGCCAATCACTTCAGCAGCTCTGCAGTATATGCACAAAAGAAAATTTAACATGTTACTTAAGAATAAGTATTTCTTGCAGGAGTCCATATGCTTATAACACATGTAGATCTTGTCAGGTTTTAGTTCATGAGGCACTTCATCCAAGCAGTTGACAAGGACTCTTCCTGCCCTGAACTCCTAAGTCTGGATGGCACTTCACCAAACCACAGGATTCAGAGCTTTCCAGCTCCACTACCACTGCAATCTATTTTGCAGCATAGCCACACCTTGCTGTTTTCTCAGTGGGCCACATTAACTCAGTGCTAATTATAGTGCTAGACATACCTATCTTAACCAAGTACTTCAGTTCAGCTTTCAATCTATAGTTTATCTTTCATAAACACCAGAGAAGAGAAAACTAAAAAGCTATTTGCTGTACTATTTCCTATATATTATAAAACAACACAACTGAGCAAGTTTCTAGTAAAGACCATATGTCTACTGGCAAGCTGTCAGGCATCTAGAACTGTCATAATCTTAACTCTATTTTCAGGCATCTACACTAGGACCTCTATAGGCAAAATAAAGAGCCTACAACAAGAAGCTGCACTGAAACAAAATTTCAGAGAGCTACCAGGAACTGCAGGATAATTCACTTTCTTATACTATTAGATTTTGAAAATTCTTCTTATACTATTGAATTTTTGAAAATTGAGGCAAAAAAGTGTTTGAGTACATCTCCTCATCTGTTGTTAGCAGGTTGCCAGTCTTGCTCATCAGGGGGGTTAACACTTTCTTTGACCATCCTTTTCTGGCTGACATACCTGTAGAAACCCATCTTATTATTCTTTGCATCCCTTGCAAAGTTCAGCTCCAGCTTTGACCTGGCCTTCCTGACCCCATCCCTACACAACCAGGCAGTGTCCCTATACTCTTTCCCAGGATACCTGTCCCTGCTTCCATTCATTCTGCATTTCCTTCTTGCCCTTTAGTTTGACCAGCAGTTCTTAACTCATCCATGCTGGTCTCCTGCCTTCCTTTCCCAATTTCTTACCCCTGGGGATCAAGAGCTTGTGTGCTCTATATATAAAGTGTTCTTAAAATCTTCTGGCTCTGTTTCACTCCCTTGTCCCTTAGGGCAGTTTCCCATGGGTCCTATTGACCAACTCCTCAAACAGCTAGGAGTTTGCTTTCCTAAAATGTATGGCCTGAGTTTACTCTTTGCCTGACCCACATCCCTCAGGACTGCTACTCCACCAATGCATGATCACTGCAGCCCAGGCTGCCTCCAGTCTTGATGTCACAGATTAGCTCACTTCTGTTGGCAAGCAACAGATCCAGTATCACATCCCTTTTGGTAGGGCCATCTATTAACTGGCTTATGAGGTAATGTAGGTCACTGCTCATGTATAGAGATCATGCAGAAAGTAATTCTTATGTTTAAAGTTCTATGTGGCATAGAAGCATTTAATGCACAGATCAAGAAATTTAACAAATAACCAAAGTGCCAAAAATATGCCCAACTGACACACAAGTGACAACCAACCTACCTTTTAACTATTAGAGACAGACTGGCATTGTAAGCTCTCCAGTCAGAATCCACTAGAGCTGTAAGCACTGAAAATTGCTATCAAGTAAGAATTTTTGAAGCCTGTAACAGACTGGTAAAACCAGACGGGCAAGACAAGCATCACTAGCAAATCAGTAATACAATAAACTTAAGAGAATGATGCATTATTTCATGCTGCAGATGTTGTAGGTACAAATTCCCAAGAAATAAGTCTTGATAAAAGAATATTAAGCATTTCCAAAGGTAGGCAGTCTAAGTTTACCTAAGTATCCCCCTGAAGTTTAGGTTATTTTATTACTCTGAAATCACATGCCATGCGTTCACCTGAGCACAGTTAACATACAACTGCGCTTTCATTTTTCAGCAACATCTATAATGCAGATCTGTTTTCTGTGCTAAATCTTTCAGAAAAAATACACCCGCCATGTTTCAATTTTACCCATAATGTGGAAGGGCAAACTAAAAGCATCAGGCCCTTACAGTAGTATAACAGGGATAAAATAGTTGAAGAAAGCCAAAATTAAGACTGAAATTCAGAATGCCAGTAGACATTTTGCACATCAGTGCAACTGTCAGATACATATTCCAACTTTAAGGCTAGCAATAGAGGTTAAGAGCTTCACTTGGTGTCTAGCTTCCCTCTCATCTCAGAACAGGAACATTTTCTTAGATTTACAAGTCAAAAGATTCTGTTCGCCTAAACAGCTGTTTCTTTTTGCTCTTGGGAAATATCTAGCTGTCTACTCTGAAGAGGGAAAGATGGAACTTACGCCAATGCCCATGCCTGCAAAGCACAGTCTCTAGGGAGTGCTCTCAAGTATTTTTGGGAATCTTAAGTCACTGTGCACCACCTCACAGTTAGCTGGCAACACTCGAAGCTCCCTTAAAGGAAAAAAGACTCAAATGCCATTAGGCAGCTATTTGGAAACTGCATAGATCACCTATTAGGGGGAACTATCAGCTCTTTCAAAGCTAATTGGAAGATGTAGTTACTTTCTTCATTATGAAGATGAAAAATATACAAAAATAATTACAGCTCCTAATAGCTGTCTGGACAGAGACAAAACATTTGAGAAATATCAGTATTTGTTTAAACAGTGAAAGTGATAACATTTTGTGTCACAAGCGAGTTACATCTTTGTCACTCTTGCAGACACTGAGTCCTTGAGAGATTTGTTGTTCAATCTGGACAGAGAGGTGGTTGTTCCATCAGAGTTCCCACACTGCCTACACACTAGCAAGCTTGTGGGGAAATCAGTAGTTAATTTCTTCTATCCTACTACCTTAAATCATCTTATTCCACATCTCTAAACACAGGTTAGGAACCTAAGAGCTTGAATGTTTCTCTTGTATTCCCTCCTACTGAATTCCACTGAAAACAGGAACAGACAAACACATTAACCAAATGCAAGACAAAAGCAACACTGAAAAATAAAATAATACCTCTAATGACTTAAAACAATAATTAAAAAATAGCAGGTAGATACAACAGCAAGTCTCAAATGCTATAACACCAGGTGAAACTATGTTACACATGCAGCTTGCATAGAATACCAGGGCACTGGAAAATTTTCAATAAAAAGTTGGGCCAACCAGACAAAGCACAAGAGCATTCACATAACCTTGAACTGATACACAACACATTTTATAAGTCGCCTTCTACACATATAAGCATGAAGTCTGAAGAAACGTTTTACAAAAAACATTGAGATATCTTTTGCTGTTCAGAAGATTAACAATCTTGGATTTTACACAGAAGGCCTCCAGAAGTCCAAATCACCTGAACTTAAGTTTACCAAAACTCTGCATTTAAACAGTCTCATTTTATTGGTGTCATTTTCTCCCCAGCTTTTTGCATTAGAAGTCATCAACATGAACAGTTTTCCAAGCCAGCATGGTTATCCCAATACAAGCTTAGTTAGATCACCATGATTTGCATTTAAAAAAATCTTCAAATCACCTTTCATCTGTTAGAGAGGAAACCTTCTTTAAAGTAGCCTCAAGTAACCTACAGAGACACACAGGTGGACAAAATAGGGCTGTTTCATCACATCAACCACAGTGACCTTAGCCCTTCCCCAGGCAATTCCTGCCACATCATAGACTTAGATCTCTGACTCAGATTAATATTAAACTGCTATCACATACAATTCTCAGTCAAAAGGGAAAGCTGAGCACTGAGGTGTACCCCCAGACATACACCTTCCCCACACACACCCCCAAGCAGCAGCAGATTTGTGCTCCTCGCACACTGCACACTCACAGGCACGCTCCCCCCTCTTCCCTCAGGGGGGCACTTACTCGCACCCCCTGCACCCCATTTTTTTAATTACACAGATCCTAAGAGCTGATTTCTGTCAAAGCAGAATTTTAAAGCCAGTTTTAGCCAAGCCTAGGCGTACCCACAGAAGGCCCTGCTCGCAGTCAGCCTTATAGAGGCCTGCTTTCCATCAGTGACGTTTCAAACTGAAAGCCGTTTGAGGATTTGGAAGGAGACCGGAGATGCCTCTCTCTGCCCCGCCACAAGCCCACCCGCACCCCCAATACAGGCCGGCTTCGCTTCAGCGCCTCATAAACACGGACGACGCCGGGAACCGACCTCCCGGCACCGCCTTCCGCCGGGGCAGCGACCGCAACAGCCAGTGCCCCTCCACAACGGTGTCGGGAGAGGGAAATACCCCCAACCAATCCACCCAAAACGCACAAACCAACCCAAACCCACAGCCGAAAGCCTTAGGCTGCCGCCGCCCTCCCTC